AGAATATTGAAGGAAAAAGATTTGTTCAAGCTCGAAGTAAGATTGAGTTTTCTTTTTTCTTCTCTTTTCCAATCAAAAGTCGGTGATGTATCTTTATTTCAATATTTGTTTTTGACAAGTTGTAGCTAATTCTCATAATAAGTGTAAACGATGAAACATATATACTTTGAAGCTTTGATTTAATAATGAATTATTGATTTTAATTTGGTTGTATTTTATTTTGCTATTGTTTTAATTAAATTGATTACTCGACCAATTATTGATTTACTTGTGAACGGCAATGGGTCGAGATAGTAAAAGCTAGAAATTTAGGTAGAAGATAGTGATACCATTCTATGTTTTTTCAGTCATTAATTGGATTTCTCGAAGATTGAATGAACTAAGGTAAGTTAAAATTCACATAAAACATAGTGAATTTATTTATTTAGATAGAATTAATTTCACTAGAGAAACATTATCAATTGATTTAAACGAATTCTATCAAGTACAAATGCCAAGTATTACCAATAACTTCATAGGCTAAATTACAATAAATTCTTTAGCTCTAGCATTTCTTCTCATCAATATACATTAAATACAATTCACTTATTCATTGCTTTAAACTTAAAGTAGACATTAGAATAAAAATCAGTTCTCTGCCATTTTCTAGGATTATTATTATTCTATTGCAATATTATTATCAACTTTTCATTACTTATAAGTAGAATATCTTACCAAAATGTTCGCTAGGAGGATGTGTAAAGGCTTGTTTGCCCATCGTATTTTAGATAAACAAAAAAAATCCAATAAAAAAGCGTGACTTAATATTTGCCATTCATTTCAAAACACGCCGACACTATATTTAGATAGAGATCATAATTAGGGATCAGGTGCGCATATTAATGAAAGACTAAGAATTATAATGAAACAAAAAAGGTGAGACATAAGTACAATAATAAAAAGACGATCATGTTATTTGTACATTCTTTACATCATTTTATCACTTTGCCTCGTGGCAATAAAACATTGGCCAGTTTAAATTTTTGAAAATTTTTTCACTCGATCAACACTTGACACCACTTGTAATGTAAATAATAATGTCTACAAAACAGTCTACACCTTTTAACACTTGTAGTTATATTGGAACTACAATTTTTTTTTTTTTTGTTATATTACTTTTTAACAGTATAAATGCTCTACAATCTTTGTTTCTTGTTACACATGTGTCTTTATATTTTTTTGTCGCATCATTGTCCTCAATTTTTCATTAATTAATATATTTGTTCCAGTGACAATGGTTCTGTCAAAATCTTATATTAGCATGCTTTAAAATGAAGATAAAATACTTTGTCGCAATTTTATATTTGCTATTTTTTATTTATTTAAATATATGAGACAGTGATGCTAACAGAGGAGTGCAGTGCCGTAATTCGGAAAAAGCTCCCACCAAAACTGAAAGATCCAGGGAGTTTTACTATACCTTGCACTATTGGTGAATGCTGCTTTGATAAAGCTCTTTGTGATCTTGGT